AAAAAAAAAAAAAACCTCTTGGTTTCCTAGAGGTTATATTTTGGTAGAGACTGACAGTAAATGATGAATAAATAAATTATTGTTCATAATATACTGTTTATGATAAAAGATGTAGAAAAATAAGGCAAGGAAGGAGGACAGAAAATGCAGAAGGACTAGTTTGAAGTTTTAAGTAGAGTCAGGGAAGGCCTCATAGAGATTGTGACATGAGACCAAAAATCTGAAAGAAGTAAAGGAATGAGTTGCCCACTTTCCTGAGGAGTGTCCCAGGAAGAGCCTAGTATATTTCCATTAGGCTAGGGGTGATTGCTTGTGAATGAATGTGTTTGTAGGTTTCCTAAGGTTGCACAAAGACATGCCCAAGAAACACTTGCCAATTTTGAGATTTCTCTGTTACAGTATATTATTAACACAGTTTATGTTACTTAGAGGTATTATAGAAAGTTTGCAGTGAGCAGGTCTATATAGATGTTAAATTTACAATTTACTTTCTCTGTTTCAGGTTGTTACGGAACCCTGGGAATGGAATCTGGTGTGATTGCCGATCCTCAGATAACGGCATCATCTGTACTAGAGTGGACTGACCACACAGGGCAAGAGAACAGTTGGAAACCTGAGAAAGCTAGACTGAAAAAACCCGGGCCTCCTTGGGCTGCCCTTGTCACGGATGAGTATCAGTGGTTACAAGTAGATCTGAATAAGGAAAAGAAGATAACAGGTTAAAAGAGAGATTTTTCTTGAATAATATTCTTTCATTTGGAAAACTGGTGACATTTTTACCATAAAAAATTAGATCACTGAAAACGTAATTATTTTCAGTTAAGTTTTCTTTACTAGTGTTAACATTATTGGAGATAGTTTTATAAAACATGATAGAGTTGGTTGGTATTTAATAGCTTTTTCTTTTTCATTGCAGTAAGACTTTTAAGGTAGTGTTTTAATAAATTGATCTTCAGACATCTGAAATAACCATCTCTCATAGCCATTAAGAGGAATTCATGTTAAAGGAACTCATTTTAAGGATAACAATTAATTTTCCACATGTGCTGAGTATAAATGTAGAGAAATTTAGTAAATGGTCAGAATCATTGGTTGAGATTGGTTTAGATAACTTTCTCAAAAGATTTATTTTGCTTTGGTATTGTAAAACATATCATTAATCATCTTTAATCTGTTTGTTCCCAGGAATTCATGCTTTATATTTGCTTTTTTGTTTGTTTGTTTGTTTTTGTTTGTTTTGGAGGCAGGGTTTTGCTTTGTTGCCTAGGCTGGAGTGCAGGGGTATGGTCATAGCTCACTACAGCCTCAAACAACGGGCCTCACGGGATTCTCCTATGTTAACCTTCTGAGTAGCCTCCCATACGTTCCACCACATCCAGCAAATTTTTGAAAACAATTTTTTGTAGACACAGGGTCTCAATATGTTGCCCAGAACTAGTCTTGAACTCCTGACTCAGGCGATCGATCCTTTTGCCTTGGCCTCCCAAAGTGCTGAATTGTAGTCATAGGCTACTATGCTCAGCCCCAGGAAGTCTTTCTTACTCAGTAGTTGAAATGTATTCTACAATGATAAGAACACAAGCTGCTAAAATAGAATACTTTTTTCCTTAGATGTGCCCATCATTTCTCCTGTCTGTACAGGGGAACAAAGCCTGTATTATAATGAAAACTTGCACTTAGATCTGGAAGTGAGCCGTACGCACAAATGTTTGAACAGCACATACCAGGTGTTTATGCTTTGATACTGAACAAACCTGGAGATTCAGACTAATTCCATTAGTGTACTAATGAAAGTAACTCTTCGTTCCCCAGGCATTGTAACCACTGGATCCACCATGGTGGAGCACAATTACTACGTATCTGCCTATAAAATTCTGTACAGTGATGATGGACAGAAATGGACCGTGTATAGAGAGCCTGGTGTGGAACAGGAGAAGGTAAAAGAATTACCAAAGTATTTTTAAAAACATGTTTGCCAAAAGTCACAGAAATTCTGTATAGAAGAGATGCAAAAGGTAAATATCATTTCATCTTCCACTGCCCTCTTATGGTTATTCTAGGTAGTGTTAGTTATTGCCTTTACTCTTAACTATGGTTAGAAATTCTTAGTGGTTCTAGGTCCCTTTCAGTGATTTTAATGGTTTGTGCTTCCCTGACTTTTGTCACTGCATTTTTAACTGAATTATTTAGGACAAGTTAATAAGAAAGTCACAAATGGAACTTATAATCTCTTATCTTTTAAAAGCTTTTATTATAGTTCACTAGGTGATGAAGAGCCTTTCTTCTCAGATTTCCACTCTGTAGGCAAGAGGTAAAAAAGACAAAAAAGCTGAACTATATACATTTTTATCATTTACTTTCAGCAGTTTATGATGTGGATTTCTATAGTTTTCTTTATGTTTTTTTCTGCTTGGGATTCTTTGAGTTTTTTGGACCTGTAGGTTGTGATTTACATCAATTTTAGAAACTTGTAGTTTATTTTTGCTTCAAATATTTCCCCTCCCCTTCATGAATATGATGACCCTCAAAGATGTCTTACAGTTCACTGGTGCTCTGTTCCTTTTTTTTTTTTTTTTTTTTTTTTTGCGGTTTTTGGCTGGGGCTGGGTTTGAACCCGCCACCTCCAGCATATGAGGCCAGCGCTCGCTCTAGTCCTTTGAGCCACAGGCACCACCCAATCAATTCAGTTTTTTTTTTTCCCCAAAAACTCCTTTTTAGTTTGGAAAATTTAGTTTGTCTTCAAGTTCCCAATATTTTGTTCTGTGATGTCTAATGCTAATCTTATCCATTACATGTTTTCCATGCCTCTTCTTCACAGGCTCATGCTTTTCTCAATCTCTGAAATGTATGGATCTTACAATAACTCTTCTAATGTCCTTCTCTACCGATTTATCATACATATCATATCTGGGTCTTTTTATGTTGATTGATATTATGGATCATATTTTATATGCCTGGTGATTTTTTTTGTTGGATGCCAGACATTGTGAACTTTATGTTATTTGATACTAGATTTTTTATTATAATTACTTCCTTAAGTATTTTTGAGTTTTTCTCTGGAGGCTGTTAAGCTACTTGGAGACAGTTGTATCTTGTCAAGTCTTGCTTTCAGGCTTTTTTGGGCTGGACCTTTAGCTCTCTAATTTTTTAGCGCTACGGAGACAATACTGTTCTAAGTACTGATCCCAGTGTCTCATTGTTAGGAGGTTTCTCCATTCTGTCTGTTGGCAGTGTAAGGCGTTCCTGAGAACTGACTCCTTCTGTGGTTCTTTCACGGATCATAGGTCAGTTCTTTCTATGCAGCTGAAGATTTTAGAGAAAACCTCTTACAAACCCTGAAGTCTCTGTATGTCTATCTCAGTCTGTCTCTTTCCTCTACCTCTGTAGTTCTCTTCTGAATTCTACCCATCCAATTCTAGCTGTCTTTTGGCCTCTCAGTCTTCAAGTTCTGTCTCCTTGACCCACCAGGCTCTGCTTGGAATCTCTCTTCCTGCACTATGGGCTGGAAACTTGATCTAGATAGTACTGGGGCAGTAGCAGAGCTCGTATCATTTGTTTTCCTTCTGTCGGTGACTATTGCCCTTTGCTGCCTGTTGTCCTGAATATATCCAGTTTTTAAGATACGTATGGCTGAAGTTTAAGTCTAGTCCCTATTACTATTATGGACAGAAGTGCCCTCACATTAAATTACATGTAGTAACAGTCTTTTCCCTCACTCCTGTCTGTCCATCTGCTCCCTTATCTGCCCCCAACTCAAGGATCATTGCTGTATTATTTTCATATGTTTTTGAAGCGTGCACATGTACATGAGTACATAGCAGTGGCATTTGGTTATTTTCAGAAAATGGAATTTACATATATATAAAAATATGTACTCACATACACGCACATGCTTATATATAGTTTTAAAATATATTACTTTATAATATTATGCCTTTTTTAAAATAAGAGATGGAGTTTTGTTCTGTTACCCAGGCCAGATAGAGTGCAGTAATATGATCAAAGCTCACTGTAACTTCCTGGCCTCAAGCAATCCTCTAGCCTTAGTCTGCCAAGTAGCTGGGACTATAGGCACATACCACCACATTCAGTTAATTTTTTATAGTTTTTTCATACAGGGCAGCACTTGTAGCTCAATGGGTAGGGTGCCGGCCACATACACTGAGGCTGGTGGGTTTGAACCTGGCCGGGCCAGCTAAAACAACAATGACAACTGCAATAACAACAACAATACAAAAATAGCCAGGCATTGTGGTGGGCGCCTGTCGTCCCAACTACTTGGGAATCTGAGGCAAGAGAATCACTTAAGCCTAAGAGTTTGAGGTTGCTGCGAGCTGTGACACCACAGCATTCTACCCAGGGTGACAGCTTGAGACTCTGTCTCAAAAAAAGATTTTTTTTGTACAGACAGTCTCCCTGTGTTGCACAGTCTGATCTTGAAATCCTGGCCTCAGGCAATCCTCCCAACTCCACCTCTCAAAATATTGGAATAACAGACACGAGCCACTGTCCCCAGCCTATCATGCCACATTTATGTGTGATAATAATACCACAAAATTTAAGTTCTCGAGGTCGAGACTTACACTTCCATTTTCGTTTTATCCTCATCACACCTAGAAAATCTTTCTGAACATAGAGATTCTCAATAAATGGTCGTAAGTTGACAATAGTGAATCTTTTTTACTCAATTGTAATGAAAATTGAGACAGTGGCGGTTTTTATGTCCTAAAATGGTGTTTCATTATTGTCCCTTTCCCACTAATATAAGAAGACTGCAAATAATTAGCTTCATTTTATTTCACATTAATAGCTGAGGAAGTCATGGAATCTTGCTAGTATGGAGATTACTGTAACTTCAAAACAAACCTTTCGGAAAAGTAAAGGATATTAAAATATCTGTAGAGGTTCTTATGTCATGTGAATTAGCCAAGAAGAATAACCACAATATTTGGAAATAACTTAATTGAGAAATTAAACATTTACTTTACTCTGACCTTAGCTAATAAAAAAGAAAATCACTTTGATTTCTCTTGGTGTTCACTTATTAATGTTTAAAAACTAGTTGATTTAGCCTAGGGAAAAAGCAAGGCTCTTTTTAGCTTATTGTAGCACTGTCCATAAGTCAGAAGACCCAGATTCAAGTTACTGCCCTATCATTGACTAGCTGTGCAAGCCACTTAAATTCTCTGAGTCCTGGCTTCCTGTGCCCTGCCTGTCACACAGGCTTGTCACAAAGAACGTCAGCATTATTACACGAAAATGCTTTCTAAGTAATTCAGAGGTGTTCCAGTATAAGGTTGTTGTTATTTACTTGAAATTCTTGAGAGAGCAAGAGTGACTGAAAATTGCATTTTTACCTAATTCTTAGGTAAAAATCCTTACTTATATCCTTACTTATATATTTGTTGCTGTTTTATGATCATTAAATTAGCTGTAGAAAAGTGTTACAAAGTCACTTTTCCAGTTGAGATAGCAACAAGGAATGAAAACTGTGATTATACTATGGGAACTGTCTTTACGCAGTTTATCCACTAGGTGGAAGTATGTCTCTGTTAGATGTTCCTTAGTTTATGTTCATTTTCAGCCTACTCAAGAGAAAAGTTGTGAAAAGCACACAAGAACAAAATATTTCCTCAAAGACTTCATTTGATCTGTTTTACTTTGAAAATAAAGTTAACAGGCTCGGCGCCTGTGGCTCAAGTGGCTAAGGCGCCAGCCACGTACACCCAAGGTGGCAGGTTCGAATCCAGCCTGGGCCTGCCAAACAACAATGACGGAAGCAACCAAAAAATAGCCGGGCGTTGTGGCGGTCGCCTGTGGTCCCAGCTACTTGGGAGGCTGAGGCAGGAGACTCACTTGAGCCCAGGAGTTGGAGGTTGCTGTGAGCTGTAATGCCATAGCACTCTACCCAGGGGGACAGCTTGAGGCTCCTGTCTCAAAAAAAAAGTTAATATATTTAAACTGTAACTCAATAAACTCACTGGATTTGAAACCTTTTGCTCAAATTGCCAAATTAGCCCTCCTTCTGTTAAATTCTCAAATCATTTTAGAATTGTTTTCGTATTAAATATTTTCATAAATTTTGACGAAGAATGTGCAGCTTCTTAATACTTTTTCTAAATTATGATTATTTTCTTAGAAATTGCTTCTTATTGTCATGCTTTGTGATGTCATTTAAGCCCCGGAAGAAAAACAAAACATGGAGCTGTTTAACCCTGACCTCTGTTGATTTAAAGTACCAATTTTTTGTTGTTTTTTAAAGATATTTCAAGGAAACAGAGATTATCACCAGGATGTGCGTAATAACTTTTTGCCACCAATTATTGCACGTTTTATTAGAGTGAACCCTACTCAATGGCAGCAGAAAATTGCCATGAAAATGGAGCTGCTGGGATGTCAGTTTATTCCTAAAGGTAAAGACACAAGGGGTTTAACACATGTTATTTTCACTGGATTGTTAAGAGGGTTTTGCTGATGTGTTTTTGTATTTAAACTCTTGATTATAACATCTTCTTAAAGGAAATTTTAAAAATATAAATAGTTACCCTACACAAAGCAGAATAGTTTCCAAAATTACAAGTGGAAGAAGAAATAGAATCGTTTGTGAGGTACTGTAGTAAAATCACTTGCCAGATTCCCTCTTAGTCCTAATAACTTTAAATCTGGTCTCATGTTGTATGATATTTGTGTAACATAAGTGCTGAAGATTATAAAAGAAAATTAAAAGTGGAAATAATTTCTCTCAACTTATTTATTTATTGCTGTATCTCCCCAGACTGTCACAGCGCCTGACATGTAATTGGCCCTGCATAGCTATTTATTAAATGAATTGAATAAAAAATAAGATTGTGAGGACACTTTTATGGCTTTGGAGTTCAACATCATTTTCCTCCCTATTATGCTCCTTCCTAAGAAGGTTGTTTTCAGATGATTTAACTATTTTAAAGCTGAGCTGAGCAATCCTGGTATATTTGTGCATCTAATATAGAATATAATATCCTTCAAATATAGTTCCCTCTAAGATTTAAAATTATAGAATTCTGCAGAAATACATACTTTTGGAAATGTTGAAAATATTTAATATCACTATTTTTAACTCTTATAAATGAAAATGTATTCAATCTAACTATTTTTCAAGGTCGTCCTCCAAAACTTACTCAACCTCCACCTCCTCGGAACAGCAATGACCTCAAAAACACAACAGCCCCTCCAAAAATAGCCAAAGGTATGCCTGTTTCTAATGTGAGAATTTGATATTCCCTGGATTTGTGGCACAACTTTTCATACATATATTAAAAGCATTATAAAATAACATCATCAAGTGGGTTTAGACATAAAAGTAAAGTCTTTAAAACTTTTTTTAAGGTCGCGGCCCAAAATTTACTCAACCACTTCAGCCTCGCAGTAGACATGAATTTCCTGCACAGACAGAACAAACAACTGCTACTCCAGATATCAAAAATACTACCGTAACTCCAAACGTAACCAAAGGTATGCAGAGTAAAAATGAACGTCTGCGACACAATAGTGCTTTGTTTTGTTTTAACTAAAGTTTTCATGGGCATTTCCAACTTAAATCCTCAGTTTCTTTTCCTCCAATATATTTTTTAGGTATAGCAAGATAAAATTGATTTCCTACCTTAGGTAAAAGACTGCAGTATTGATCTAAGTTCTGTTCTCTGAGCCCTGTAGAATTGCTCCTTAAATGTTTAGAGATACTTACTGTGTTGTGGGCCTTCTCTGGTGATTTGTTTCTTCTTACAGCCAAACACGTTAAGTCTCAGGCTTAGAAATGCAGTATTTCTAGAAATTTTTAGAAATATAATGACTAAAATCGTAGCAGCAAACAAACTTGTTTTTTCTCCTGATAATATATTAATTTACTAGAGAGGGAACTTCGTGGCAAAAGGAAAAAACAAAAACGGAAATTGTGGTAGAAGCTAATAGTTTTTTACAAAATACTCTTGAGTTAACGTATTCACAAAAAAGAACTTAGGTCTTTGTTTTTAAATGGATACGGTTACAATTTTCTCAGATGACAAATATAATGTATTAGAATTTACATTCAAACTTTGCCAGTGATAAATAAGGTATTAAAATATATAAAACATAGTTAAAATATATAAAAGATTGTAGTAGTTTTACTAGTTGAAAAAAACTTTACTTGAATTTTAAAAAATTTCAATGTCATAATAGAATAAGTGTTAGTGCTGGCAGATAGAAAACGCACGCTCATTTTCAGGAAAGTTCAGAGACAAGATGTCTTACCCGGAAGACATCTATCCAGAGTAACTTGTCTACATAGAACTTTAATCATTCTCTTTTGAGGTGAAAATTTTTCTGGATTCAGATAACTTTCTCCAGCTTTCCACATGTCAGTTTCTTTCCTATCTGCTGAAGTATTTCCACAAAGGCCAATTTCTTTCTCATGTTTCGAGTAAAGCTAGAGAGACACAAGAGTTCTCAGAGGTAAGAAATACAGCATCTCCCAGATGGTTACACTTACGAGAGGCTTGTCTTTAGGCAGAATTCCAAACCACATGCCCAGATGGAAAAACAGGCATCTAAAACTATTGCTCATCTTAAAAATCTGATTATAGAATCTCAAACTCTCAAAGTTAAAAGTGTCCTAGAACTTTTGGACCCCTGTCAGCTTAAAAAGAATAACATAGAATGGGCTGGTCTTCTCAATTGCTGACCTCCTGTCTCCTTATCTTTGGGATGCTAGCATATAGCCATTATTTTTTGAACCTATACAAATGTTTTAAGCCCTCTGATTAAATCACACTGCATCCATCTAAGCCTGATTATTCTCTCCATCTTCACTTTTCTGAATTCTGAGTGTTCTCTAGCATGAGTCATGATTTCCGTTGTACGCTCTTCTCCATTTTTATACCCAGGCTGAGAGTGATTTCATGGAGAAAAGCATGTCATGGTCAGATTGATGACCCCCCACAGCTTCCAGATCCTCCCTCAGTGGGACCCCTGGCACTGGCTGGTGATCTTTCTGAATGTCCCTAGTGAGGTCTTCTGTCCTCAGTGGTAGTATTTTTCGGTGTTCCATATTTTCCAAACCCTTGACCCAACTATCTTCACTCATTCTCAGTTATCTCTCCAATTTTGCAAAGGAAGTAGAAGCCATTGGAAGGAATCTCCAATTTTTTGGTGCCTGTAGATTTGCCTGTATCTTCTGTTCACTGCAGAAGTGAAGGGATTCTGTGCTGCCCAAGGCTGATCACTTTGCCTGTGCCCTGGTCCCTATTCATTGACTTCCCAGAAACCTTATGTTGTTGAATTATCCTCTTCCTCTCCCACATCATCAGCCTCTTTATTTGGATACAATTGTAAGGAGAAAAGATGCTGCGGGTGAGACTCATCTCAGTGTCTGGTTCTTGGACCCAAATAAATATCAGCAATTGCACTGTTATCATCCTTGTGGCTAGTATGGGAAGAAAGGAAGAAACTAATACCCTAATGACCTCCGCCAGACCATTTTCTGTATCTGACTTGTCCATATCCACATTTTCTGTCAGCTTTCTATGCTTAGCACCACAGTGTTACCTTCCCTTATCTGCAATATTCTGTTATTGCCTTGTAATACCATTTTCAGTTGCTGAGTTATATTCTGCTAGAAGAAGAATGCCATGATTTATTTCTTCCCTCATTTGGGGGCATTAAGGTTATTTCCAGTGTTTCACTCTTATGCAGAAATAGGAGTAAATGTCTTTTAAGATGCATCTTTGAATGTCTTAATTTTCCCAAGAATAAATTCTAGAGATGGAATTTTCTTATAATATTTTTTAAACATATTACCTCCAAATGCCAGTCAGAAATATAGTATCAATTTATATTTTCATCAAAAAAATAAAACTTCTCTGGCATCCTCTTCAACAATTAATTGTCATTCTTCTAAATGCTTGCCATTTGATAAGCATAAGTGGTATCTTGTTCTTATTCTAACATATTTCTTTGGTTACCAATGAGGCAACCATGTTTAGTGGCTAGTTGTGTTTTTTAATGTATTAATAGTTCGTCTCTACTGAGTTTTCTGTTACACTGCTAGGTTTTGATTTGTATGGTCCTCTGATACAATTGTTTATATTAACCTTTATTATATATGCAGAAAATGTATTTTCCCAACTTATTATTTGTCTTTTCCTTTTTTTTTTTTTTTTTGGTGATTTAAAAACTTATGAAAATTTCAAACACATGCAAAGGCGGAATGAGTAGTGCGATGAGCTTTCGTGTATCCCTGAAAGCTTCGGCATTTACCGGCACGTGCCCAGTCTGTATAAATAATGCTTATGGGATTTTCTGAAATAGAAAAGTATTGAATGATGATGGCATTAACTCTTTGAATCTGTTCCCTGATGACATCCGCCTTGGTGTTAATGTGGCTCTTTGGTTTTGTTTTCATTACTTCAGATGTAGCACTGGCCGCAGTCCTTGTCCCTGTGCTAGTCATGGTCCTCACAACTCTCATTCTCATATCAGTGTGTGCTTGGCATTGGAGGAACAGGTTGGTATATAGCTAGTTTGCCTAACTGGTCCTAGGGAGGGTGTATTTCAGAACTCCCAAATGTGAAATAGGAACTAACTATAGAAGATGAACTGCATACAATTTACCTATTTGAGAGTGAGAGTCAAGATAGTTATTCAAATAGAAATCTCTTGTTTCTCCTTTATTCTCATTAAAACTGAGGAAGCTGGGCGGCACCCGTGGCTCAAAGGAGTAGGGCATTGGCCCCATATGCCAGAGGTGGTGGGTTCAAACCCAGCCCTGCCAAAAAAAAAAAAAAAAATGAGGAAGTTTAACTCAATAGTCAGTTACTGAGTGCCTTTACTATACCAATTTCTGCATCATATGTACATAGGAACAATTTATGACATCGGTACTCAGTGATATTTACTGAAAGAATGACATTGTCATTCCTTTCTCTGAAGTATTTAGCAGGGTTGGCTGACAAAAATAAAGAACTATGTAATAGAGTTTGATGAGTTACTTATGAAGTGATGAGGAGAATCATGCGAATTAACCTGAAGTTTTTCTTTAGAAAAGGGGAATACTCAATTTTGGCATGTTTCACCCTAAAGGAGTTGGAGTTGGCTGATTAGAGGAAGGTTATCTTAGTCTGTTCAGGTTGCTAGAAGAAAATACCATAAATCAGATGGTCGGTAAACAGTAGAAGTTGATTTCTCTTTGTTCTGGAGGCTGAGAAGTCCAAGATCAAAGCACTGGTGGATTTGATGGCTGATGAGGGCCTGCTTTCTGTTTCACCGTGCCTCGTCCTGGCATGGTGGAAGAGGCCAACAGGCTCCCTCCAGGCCTCTTGGGCACATGTAAGGGCGCTCATCCCATTCAGAAAGCTTTGCCTTCAGGACCTAATCACTTCCGAAGCCCCACTTCCTAATAGCATGACCTTGGGTATTAAGATTTCAGTGTATGAGTTTTGGAGAAACGTAAACATTCAAACTATTGCAGTAGAGATTAGACTAGCCCGAGAGAATGGCTTGAGTAAAGGCCAGAGCTACAGAGTATACCATGTGGGCGTAGAATGGAACAGTCCTGAGAGGTGACCAGCAGGATGTGGTCTGGGCTTGGATCAGGATGGGCTTTCTGGGAGAGAGAAATTGAGGTTTTATCCTATAGATGGGGGAATCACCTAGTGTTAAGCACATGAGTGGTATTATTAGATGATTATAGAAGGAGAGTGGCGGGAGTTTTG